GAGTGGAAGTTAGGGTAGGTGGGAAGCTTGGCTTCCTCCATCGCTGGAGGAAACCCAAGCCTCCTGCTCAGCTCCAGCTTTGTGGCCCCTACCATCTTTGTTGGGATTTATTTATTTTCTATAATTGAAGCTTTGTATCCTTGAGCAGAGGCCAGGGCAGGCAGGAAGCTTGACTTTCTCCATTGCCAGGGCAACCCAAGCCTCTTGCTTGCTCCAACTCCATGGCTGGCTGCCATCTTGGTTGAGCTAATTTGGATACTCCCTCCTGATTGGCTGGTGGGTATAGCAGAGTGATGGTTAATTTGCATGTTTCTTTTTTATTAGTGTAGATTATGGTAGATTTGTGAAAAATAGGGAGCTTTCTTTGTAAACTTACAGAAAATTTGAAAAGAGTACAATGAACTTTCAGATTTATGTAAATGGCCAACCCACTGTTAGCATTAGCCGCATTTGTTTTATAAATTTTTCTCCTCTCTGTGTATGCACATGCAAACTCTTTACACACACACACACACACAAATATATATAAACCAGTGCATGATCACACATTACACTTTGATATAATATCTTTTAGTTTTATTTAACCTGGAATGAATGGTTCTTCGGTCTTTTTGTTCTGGAACATTTTTTTTGAGGGATAGTTCTTCGATAAATTTCTAATTTCATTTGAGGGTTACAGGTCTTTATAAGCTTGAAAAAGTTTGGTAATTATTTTTCTAGGAACATTGTCAGTGTCCTTCATATTTTCAAATTTATTAGCAAAGAATTGTACAGTGTGTTTTATAAAATCTAAAACAAAGAAATAAAACCCCTTTCTATCTATGAGGTATGGATAGCCTGTTTCAGATTTTTTTTTTTTTTTTTTTTTTTTTTAGATTTTGTTTTAATTTTTTAAAATTTATTAATTTCAGAGAGGGAGAGACAAATAGAAACATCAGTGATGAGAGAGAATAATTAGTCAGCTGCTTCCTGCATGACCCCCACTGGGGATCAAGCCCACAACCCAGGCATACGCCCTGGAATCTAACCCGGGACCCTTTAGTCCACAGGCCGGCACTCTATCCATGAGCCAAACCAGCTAGGGCTAGTTTCATATTTTAATAATTTTCTCAATTAGGCTAACTGGTGGTTTATCTATTTTATTCATTTGTCTCTCATAACTTATCATGTTTACCTTAATTTTTTATAATACACTCCTTCAGCTTTCCTTAAGTTTTGTGTGTGAATATTTAATTTACCAGTTTTCACTTTATTTTTTTATCCTTGCCAGAGAATGTTTATTTATTTTTATTTATTTATTTTTTTTTTTTTAGAGAGAGAGGAAGGAAAAGCGAAAGAGAGAGAAACAGATATGAGAGAGTAGATTTAAGACTTGGTGAGAACTAAAATTTCTTAAGTAAGTTCAGAAACTTAAACTTTCATGGGCAAATTGAATCTTTTTTGGGCATCTATTACTTATAAATATATGCCAATTTAATAATTTAACAAAATATTCTTTAGTAGTTCACTTATGGAAGATGACTATGTAAACATAGTATTTGTAAGTAAATAATTCCTAGTAAGAATTATATTTACACAACCATCTGCTATATGTATTAGCTATAGTTGGCTCCTACACCAGGATTCTATAAATTATTCAGAACTCCAGGAGGTAAGATTTATGAATTGCCTATTTTCAGTATATTAAAAGTTCAACCACAAAATTAGTTTGCCATGACTATATTGTACATTTGCTATTGAGCTGGACCTAAAATTTTATATTTCTAATATTTGTATTTCAAAAGTTTGGGTTTTGGTTTTAGGATGTATACCCTATTTGTCTTCAAAGAATTATTTGGTAGTTTCATATGTCCATCTGGAAAATAATTTCTGGACTTTTCTATAAGGGAACAGGCTCCTGTTAGGTGATAATCAGAATCTAGATATGGCTATGTATGTAGGAATCTGTCTTCTATATATATATAAAAGCCTAAGCAACCAAATGACTGGTCGACTGGTTGCTATGATGTGCACTGGCCATTAGGGAGCAGACGCTCAATGCAGGAGCTGCTTCCTGGTGGTCAGTGTGCTCCAACAGCGGGAGTGCCATTCAGCTAGCCAACAAGTGCCAGACACAGGACTCATGACTGGCCGCAGCCCAGAGACTGCAGCAGAGCTGCAGCGAGCCTATCAAGTGGTGGCAGGCAGTGTTGGACTGCCGGTTTCGGCCCAATCCCTGTAGGCCACGCGGAGGGACCCCACCATGCACAACTGTGCATTGGGCCTCTACTGTAATAATAATTAGTTTCCATTTGCTGAGTGCATCATTTTTGTTAGACTCTATATGGCTACTTTGCACTCATAACCTCATTTAAGTCTTGCAACAATATTCAGAGATATTAATATGCCCAATTGCACAGATAAAGAATGCTAAATTAGTGGTCATCAAGCCTCTTAAATATAATACCTCCTTTTTTCTCTTTAGCCTAGCTAAAGGTATCAAGATGAGGCAATTTGCTTTACCTTCAGCAGATGGCTTACCTTCATCTGGCTCAATCATCTACTTACCAGACTTCTCTACCTGTCTAGGCATTATATCTTATCTTTTCCACAGATACCTAGGTTCTAGCCCTATCCTGGAAATTCTGATTTGTTCATCTTAAATTTTCAGAAGGTCCACAGATAATTTTTGTGTGAACCATTGCCTTAGTAATAAGTGATGCTTTAGAGTCAGGCAGGTTTGAATTAGAGTTCTGATTCCTCTAAATTGATCAGTTGAATGAGTTTGGCCAAGTTTTTTAGTCTCACGAAGATTCTTCACCTGTAAATTGGAGATATTATTATGTACTTTATAGGATTTTTTGAGGAGAATGAATGAGATAATGCTTATGAAACACTGAAAAGTTTTAGAATTCTTAAGCAATGCCATTAAGGTGTCATCATGTTAATTATTGTTCAGTCAAAACATTCACCCTACATTTACCAAAGTAATATGTATCAACTTTGTGTAAGAACAGCACTCTGATGAATACCAAGTAAGAAACGAATGGTGATTAGTTTTCATTATTTACCTTCCTTTAGTGGAATTACAACAGGGGGTAGAGGAGTAGGCAGGAGATTATTTTATAGTACCAGTCGACCAGACTTCTCTGCCAGTGTATTTGTTTGACCTTAGTAGGAAAAGGAACAAGGAAAGGTTGCTGGTAAACTATTTCATTTTTCTTTTTTTCCTTTTCTCTCCTACCTTCTTTTCAGAGCTTAGCATCACTAATTTCATCAATCCCCTAGTCTCATAACTGTACCCTGATTTACCTAGGTAATTTTTTTCCATTCCTACTCCCTACTACCCATTTCCCCTTCATCTGTCAAATTTCATTCTATCTTTTTTCAGATTGCTTTGTTTTCAGTTGTGACTCATTTGATGACTTGGACCCTAAGTCTCTATATTCCTAGACTATTACTCAAGTAAAGGCCAACCTAAATCCTGACCAACTGTCTTCCTGCCTGTGTGGCTCCTTTTACACCAGGGATTTTAGTTTTTTATTATTGCTAAGCATTAGATTAGGTAAACTTTCAGGCTGTTCACAGTGCTGTCCATTGTCCCTTTCGTTTCCTTTACAATTTATACCTAATGACTATATGTATAAAAGTCTAAGTGACCAAACAACCAGTCAACTGGTCGCTATGATGCACACTGACCACCAGGGGACAGACACTCAATGCACAGGATTGGGCTCTCTCCTGTCTAGATCAGGCCTGCGGGGATCGGGCTCCCTTCTGTCTGGATTGGGCTTGCGGGTACTGGGCTGAAACCAGCTATCCGACATCCCTAAGGGGTCCCGTATTGTGAGAGTATTATTATACTCTACCAGAGGTCCGTGCACTGGGCCTCTGGTAGAGTATAATAATAGTGATACATGCTATTAACACTAGATTAATAGAACACCAGTACATTACAGTAGATTAATTAATATGTAAGCTTTGTTATATGTATGTATATTTTGCAACTTGAAATTTGAAGCTGGACCACTTATGGTAATTTAATAACTTACTGGCTATCAAAGACTGAAAACCCAATAGAATAGAAAGGGTAGAATTTAAGTAAACTTTGAAGGAAATGTATGCTTTTTTTTAATAAGTAGGAAAGGCAAGGGATTGACATAGCTAAGACTTAAAGGAAAGGGTGCAGAGATGAACCTTTGTGAGTAGATCACTTTTTACTTTTTCAGAGGGTTGATGGAGTAGGAATAAAACTAGGTAATTTGGAATTAAACTTCGGAAAGTTTTAATGTTTTATTAAGATTTTTGATTTAGCTGAAACCGGTTTGGCTCAGTGGATAGAGCGTCTGCCTGGGGACTGAAAGGTCCTGGGTTCGATTCCGGTCAAGGGCATGTACCTTGGTTGCGGGCACATCCCCAGTAGGGGGTGTGCAAGAGGCAGCCGATCGATGGTTCTCTCTCTTCGATGTTTCTAACTCTCTATCCCTCTTTCTTCCTCTCTGTAAAAATCCAATAAAATGTATTTTTTTTTTAATTTAAGATTTTTGATTTAGTAAGCCTTCCATATATCCTGTGTATTAACTTGGCTTTTTAAAATATATATACATATACAACTCAATTCTGAGATTCCCTAAAAGATTCACATATTTAATGCATCCCCAAATATGAAGCCTAGTTTATATAAGTTGATGGCTACTACCAAGTCTTTCTGCCTCAAGTGGTTATGCTTTGAAGAGTGTTGAATCTGCCATTTTTATCCTGATACTTGAGTTCTTTCTGCCTGTTGTCCATTCTTAGCTATTCCTGATCAGACTTTCCTCCAATTTTTCCTTCTTAATATCTAGGTTCCAAGTAAGCAATACAATGAGTGTCTGCTTATCATAAGAGTTGTAAATTCTTATTAAAAGTTTTCTTTGTATCGCCTTCACTTTTAAAAGATTGTTGTATATGCATTTTGATTACAAAATAGTTATTAATTTTCTTGTTTCTCTTCCTTTACAGACCTAAAGGATCAAGACATAATGGGAGCATTTTTAGACAAGCCAAAGATGGAAAAGCATAATGCCCAGGGGCAGGGTAATGGGTTGCGATATGGGCTAAGCAGCATGCAAGGCTGGCGAGTTGAAATGGAGGATGCACATACAGCTGTGATTGGTTTGCCAAGTGGACTTGAAACATGGTCATTCTTTGCTGTGTATGATGGGCATGCTGGTTCTCAGGTTGCCAAATACTGCTGTGAGCATTTGTTAGATCACATCACCAATAACCAGGATTTTAAAGGGTCTGCAGGAGCACCTTCTGTTGAAAATGTAAAGAATGGAATCAGAACAGGTTTTCTGGAGATTGATGAACACATGAGAGTTATGTCAGAGAAGAAACATGGTGCAGATAGAAGTGGGTCAACAGCTGTGGGTGTGTTAATTTCTCCTCACCATACTTACTTCATTAACTGTGGAGACTCAAGAGGTTTACTTTGTAGAAACAGAAAAGTTCATTTCTTCACACAAGATCACAAACCAAATAATCCGCTGGAAAAAGAACGGATTCAGAATGCAGGAGGTTCTGTAATGATTCAGCGTGTGAATGGCTCTCTGGCTGTATCGAGGGCACTTGGGGACTTTGATTACAAATGTGTCCATGGAAAAGGTCCTACAGAGCAGCTTGTCTCACCAGAGCCTGAAGTCCATGATATTGAAAGATCTGAAGAAGATGATCAGTTCATTATCCTTGCATGTGATGGTATTTGGGATGTTATGGGAAATGAAGAGCTCTGTGATTTTGTAAGATCCAGACTTGAAGTCACTGATGACCTTGAGAAAGTTTGCAATGAAGTAGTCGACACCTGTTTGTATAAGGTAGCTAAACTTTTTTTTTAAGATAAAATAATTTTATGCCATCTTAATTATTATCCTAATATTTAATCATCTTAGAACCTGGTACTTCTCAGAAATAAGATTTTTGCCATAATTGCAGGATACTCTTCACTATGAAACTATAGGAACACTTTTTATAAATAAATAACCCCGTTACTGAATATGCAAGTTATAATCTGAATGTTTAGTCTTTTAGTAACCATGACTACTTGAGCTTTTTAATATTGTATAACATTGTCAAAGGTAAAACGATTATATAAAAGTGCATGTTTTAAAAAGAAGGATAGCAAAAGGTTAGGTCTCAGTATCTGAAAATGAAAAATATTTTAGAATTTTAATGTTTTATTTTTATCTTGTGATATCTCAGTATATTTATTGCTTTGAGACTGTGGTCTAATGAATCTATAGCATCAACAAAGAGAACTGAGTGATCAGTTGGTCTGATGTAATAGAAATAGTCTTGGACATAGAGTCAACATGAGCCAGCTTAACACCTTTATTTTACAGAGAAGGCTCTGTGACTTAGTCATACACACCTAGAATCAAGGCTTACTTCTATTACTTTTGTATTGAACAAATTGTCAATTTCTCTCAGCTATTGAATGAAGATAATATCTAACGGGATTATTAAGGAACTAAATTAATGAGCTAATGTATAGATATGAAATGCTGAGTTTATCAAATAGTGTGCACTGTGTACATGCTGTTCCCTATCCTAGAGAAGTTAAAAATGACTTCTAGAGGGTTATACAATTTATTTCTCTGGTAGCACTAAGGCTAGAATCTGAGCCTTGACTTAGGGTTAGTGTTCTTTCTACCACACTGTTCTCTCTTGTCAGTAATGCTCCTTGACTAATTTTTTTATTGTTTTAAACAAATATTGATTATGTATAACTCTTCTGAGGCTATATGTATTTCATTTTTTTTTAACATACAGAAATAGAAAGTCAACATAACACCCTTTATAGTTTAAAATTTTTTTAATTTTAATTTTTGTTTATTCTCACTTGAGGATATTTTTCCCATTGCTTTTCAAAGAAAGTAGGAGGCAAGAGACAGAGAAACATCGATGTGAGAGAGGCACGTTGACTGATTGTCTCCCGCACGCACCCTGGTCAGGGATGGGGACTGATTCCAAAGCTGAGGTACATGCCCTTGACTGGGAATCAAACCCATGACCCTTTGGTGTGCAAGCCACCACTCTAACCACGGAACACATGTGCCAGGGCAATACTCTAGTTTTATATGCACACTGCTAGCTCTACTTAAACTTAATTAAAATCTGATCGTACTTAGAGACCAGTTTTTTGTATCATCCAACACAAATCAAGTTTATGTAACATTCAGCATTTAAGTTAAAAATTCAATAGAGCCGCAATTTAATAGTGTACACTATTAATTTTTGAATTTAAGGAGAATCAGACAATGATGCATATGTTCTTTGTCCCTTTTAGTATGCATAAAAATAGCATCTATTTGTTGGGGTTTTTTCTATAGCACTTGAGAATTAAATGCTTGATAGCTAAATTAAAAGCTGTTTTCTTAAGAGAGTTGTCAGATTCTGATATTATTAAATATGGTTCAGATACCACTTTTTTTCTTCTGCATTCTACTCTGTTTTAAAAATTATTCAGCCCTGGCCGTTGTAGCTCAGTTGCATAGGCATCATCTCATGCACCAATGGTTGCTGGTTTGATTCCTGATCAGGGCACATGCTCAGGTTGTGGGCTTAATCCTTGATAGGGGTCATACAGAAGGCAGCTGATTGATGTTGTGCTCTCAAGTTGATGTTTCTCTTTTCTCCCTTCCTCTCTCTCTAAAAATAAGCTATTCTCATAAAAAAATTATTCAGTACCTTATCATTTGCCACATTTTATACAATTCCCCAAGATTTTTTAATATTAAATCTTGGTATTGTTGCTTAAACTAATGATATAAGGTCGGTTTTCCCATACAGTGAGATTAAATAAAATATAAAATGTTAACTCCAATTACTAATAGGAAGGGAAAGTATAGGCACTCCATATTGATTCAAGTATTTTAATTATAGTATTTTGAATATCTAGGTGCTTTAAAAATGAATGTGCTTTCAAAAAGTTGTCAATTTTTTTGAATTTTGAAAGTTAAAGTCTGGTTTATAAACTTGATGTATATCTACTTAAGTAAATTAGCCCCACAATTTATTATAATTTTCTAAATGTAAGTTTGTTAAGTATATATGTAACTACAGGTCATATAGTTAAAAACACCACTGGAATTTTCTATTTTCTTGAATTAAATGAATGTCTGTGTATATGTGTACTTGTCTTCAGGTATCATATCACTTCAAGTTAAGTAGGCCACCAACAAATGTTCAAAAATGTTTTTGTTTTATAGAATTTTAAAAATTATTATTGCAGTAGAATTTAACTTGTGTTTCAGTCCTGTTTTTATAATGTTGATTATACAATATGTGTTAGGATAGGTGTACTTTCCACATATTCATAAATTTTTTTCCTCCTTAAAAACAATATATATTTTCACTAAAACAAGTATATTTATAATTGGCATGGCTGTAAAGGTTCTCAAGGCTTCTAAGAGCAAAAAAGAAAACCAAAATATTTTCTCAAACTTTTTTCTTCCCAGGGAAGTCGAGACAACATGAGTGTGATATTGATCTGTTTCCCAAATGCACCCAAAGTATTGCCAGAAGCAGTGAAGAAGGAGGCAGAGTTGGACAAATACCTGGAAAGCAGAGTAGAAGGTGGATCATTTAACAAAAAATAAGTTTCTTTATTAAAGAAAACCTCAACACAATCAAACTTTAACATTTTAGCTTTTATATCTTTACATGCCTTTGACATCTAGTGTTTAGTGTACAAAAGAGGGAAAGAGCATTTCTGTAGTAGCTGTTTAGATGTTTGTGATTGTTTTTATCACAGTTATCACTAGAAATAACAACCAGTGTGGTCCTATACATTCTGTTCAGGATACTTTTGTTTTAAAAGGCTCAAGTGTTTGTATGCTTTAAAATTCTTGATGAATTCACTGGTATGAGTGATATTATGCCAGGAAAGTAATTTGTGGTTCATTTATTTATAAACATTATTGATGATGGTGTTAATTTGATTACCATCTTTGTAAAGCTGTATATATAAAGTTGAGATCTTTAGGGGGTTTGTTTTTTTATTTTTGTTTTTTAATAACTTGAAGAGCACAGCATGGTTGTTAACAACTTCTGTGTGCCACCATTTTAAAATTTTTATTTTAAACTTTTTTTAAGACTTTCTTGCCAAAATCATAAACTGCCACACCTGGACAACATAGACTTGAAGAGAGGACACGCTAGGTCTCTACCTGGCAGAAATATAAATGCTGAATAAAATTAAGAAATAAGTTTGGAATTCTAGGAGTGTATATGTCAGAATTCTGCAAATTATTTTGAGATGATTAGAAAGATGTTTGTAACTCACAAATGTAATGCCTTTAAATCCTTGAAAAAATTTAAATGATCTTTAATGCAGTTACTATTTGACATAAATATTAAATCTCAGAGAATTCCATTTTACTGCAGATATGCCATAAGCATGTAAATTATGCAGTTTCTTTAAGCAGAAAAACTTGGCATGCCTATAATAGCATTAAAATGCATTTGGGCTCCTAATGTCATTAATTTGCACGCTAAAGACCTCTACTAGCATGTAAGCATTGACCTACACGCTATTATATCTTGCTGTGTCTGCATTATTAAAATCAATCTGCACTTTAATTTTGTTTTCTCCCTTTTACTGTTTGATATCAGTTATAATCTGTCTGATATTAGAATCATGATTGTTTTTGATTTGCAGTATTATCTATAGCTGCTGTTTTTATAGTTCTCCACTTGATAGTGATATATTTAGTACTGTGTGTATGTTACTGTTTAATATTTCATTCATTGGATATAATATTCAATGAGTTTGTCTCCTCAACAAGGATCATAGAATTTTTATATTTTAAATGAATCATTTAAATGTAAGTTATTTATATATAATACAGTAAAATAAAATATTTAGAGTGATACCAAATCATATCACATTGGTTATTGAAAAAGTATGAAGCTATAAGAAAAATATGTATTGGGATAAGTTGATATTTAATTTATTGGCACTTTAAAGTAACTTGGGCATAGATGTCTTCTTATCGATTTAAAGATACAATAAGTAGTTTCACTTACTATGAAAAGGGATCAAATTTTAGAAACAAATTGCTACTTTTTAATGTGCACTCTTAATTTTGATGCTATTCTAAATAATTGCTTTAGATATATAATTTTGTGGCACACTATTGAATTTTATGTTGCTTATTATTGAACAAAAATTACCACCTGAACAGTTTATATTAATACTCAATGCTTTTGATATATTGTAGTGTTATTACACTTATACCATTCAGTTGAAGATTATTATGTCATAAACTAAAAATGATATTCTTTACTGAAATTTGATGAGACTGCAACTAGAGGATAAATATTACATTAAAACTACTATATTTAAAAAACAGAAAGGATATGACTATTTGCATTATAAAAATTATACCTTAAAAAGTGAAAAATACTGCATTTAGCTTCTAAAACAAACATTGAATACCTTTTTCTTTATTTCTTTAAATACATGCCTTTAGTAAATTGCTGTGACTTACTAAACTTTATTTTATTTGTTTTGAATACTTTTGGCTTCTCTGTTCACATCACAGAAAAAAACAACAGACTTTTCAGCTCTCCTGCTGTTATCTGTACCCATCTAAAACTTAACTCTCTTGGTGTGTGAAAAGATTTCACTCATAATTTAAACCATATCACCTAAGATTGTGGTCCTACTAAGTCAGTTTAAGATTATACTTGCATGTACATATTTTTTAAATCTTTGCTACTGGGTGCCCAAGCTTTAAAGTTGCTAATTTTGAGATAACTGCTAGAATCTCTCAGACTTAGTGGATGGAAGAGCAGAATGTGTTTTTATATGAGTATATGAAAACATCAATCTTCTATACATAAATGTTATTCAGTAAAAGGCATTTAGTCTTTTCACAGTTCTAATTAAAATGTACATTCCAAGAACAATTAAGGAATATTTATTGAAGTTCTTTTTTTTCATTTTTTCAAAGCAGAAAGAAGCAAGGCTAGTATAGTATTAATGGTCAGATAATTTACATGTATTACTACCCCTGTGGAGTAGGAGATAACAGTTTTTAAAGTCTTTCATTATTTTTTTAAGAATTTGTCTTCCTGTAATTTTCTTAATAATTAAAATATCCTAATTTATATTTTAACAAAGGAGATGTAAGATACATCAAGCATAGATGACTCAAGGTAATGATTTTTTTTAGACCTGAAACCATCATTGATTGAATTTATCATCAGTGTTCATTTCTATTATGTCTAGTTATCTACCCAATAATTGTATTGGCTTAGCAGAGACTGTATGTTAAGTGTAATAAAAGCTATAGATTGTGAAATTGTGCAGTTAGGTAAACATCAAATCCCTTTATTTTTGTATAGCAGATTTCCAGCATTAGAACCATGTAGAATAAATATACTAGATGTTAAAGATTATACAATAAAGGAACTTGGCAAACCAAATCTGAGATCCTTGCTTTTTGTTCAGATTTAAGACTCTTCTTTTTTAAAGGCAAAATATAATAGATGGTAAAATTTGGCCTTAATTCTAAAAGGATAGTTTATTCATTTTAAAAAAAACCTGGGTAGTATTGTCTGTCTTTTAATAGGTGGCTTTAAAGATGAATTAATACTTGAGATTCGATCAGAGAATGAAAGATCTTTATATACATTGTTATTCTCAAAGGTATTTACAAATTGAAAACTAGAATGATAATTTTTCTTGCCCCAATGGTGACAAAGAAAATAACTTAGTATAATAAACATTACAAAACAAAAAAAAATGGAACAAACTTGAACATATAACTTACACAAATATCTTTGGCATGATCTTGCATTTAGAATTAAATATGCTAAAACTTCAAGTAAAGACTTATACTTAAAATGAATAGTTTGAGAGTTGTTTAGGTTGCTTGCACATAATAGTTGGTATTTTGTGGTATGAATGCATCTGCATGGCAACACTGCAGATCATATTATACTCATTTAATAACTGAATTATTGATTTCAAATACAGTTGTATAATTTATCAATTTTCTTTTTAAAAATTTAGTCATGAAATTAGGCTTTTACATTCTATAGGCTTTTTTCAAATAATCAACTAAGGAAAAGGTATTATGTATCTCTGTATTGCTTAACGATACTTTAGACAAAAATTATAAACAGAATGATATGTTAGTATATAACCTAATCTGCACATGCTACCGTATTTCCCCGAAAATAAGACATCCTCCAAAAATAAGACCTAGTGCATGGAAAGATAAGACATCCCCTGAAAATAAGACCTAGCGCAACTTTGGGAGAAAAAATTAATACAAGACACTATCTTATTTTCGGGGAAACAGGGTACTTAGTCATTTTGGGAAATATAAAATTATATGTAAAAATAATTTGCATTAATATATAATCAATAAATTCCTCTGTACTTAAACGTTAAAGTTTTTTTTCAAATCTTGAAATTGTTTTTTTTTTAATCTGTGTAGTGTATTTTCAGGGCAAAGTTCAAGGAATATATTTCTAGTCTAAAGAGAGGAGTTGCTTTCAGAAGTAACTAGTTGGCTTACTAAGAATATTTTCATTTGTACACATGTATATCTAATTATATAACACATTGATTTTAACATGAAATTTTGTTTTTACATTTTTGTCTTGTTTATTTTCACTTTGCAATTAATTGTTGAAAATATCTTGTGTCATTTTTGTACATCCCTTTGTCACAAATGTTCAAAGGTCAACTTGATTTTTTTTCCCCCTACACCAGTTTAGAAAATCTCAGATATGGTAAATGCCATCTTTAAAAACCTAAGTTATCTTTGTTTCAGTTTTTTAAAAATTAAATTTGGATAACACTTACAAAAAAAGTACTTCTGATTCCCAGAAATCATAAAGAAGCAGGGAGAAGGCGTCCCTGACTTAGTCCATGTGATGCGCACATTAGCAAGTGAGAACATCCCCAGCCTCCCACCAGGAGGTGAATTGGCAAGCAAGTAAGTTACATTATGCATACTCTTATGATTTATCTCAGTATATGAAAATTTTAGGTGTTTGCTGATTAAATATATTTACTAGTACATAATTTCTAAAGTGATGCAATTATCTATATCTTCAGAACATTTTATTTGTGATTCAGTGTTTTCTAGTATTAATGATATATGGTGCTTGTTTAGAATAGATATCAGAATGTTACTGTTTTTAATTAATTACACTGAAAGCTGTCCTTAGTGGAGGTTCGGATTTCTTTATATAGTATAAGTGAGATAATATAGTGAAAGAATTTTTTAATTAAATTCCATAGCACTACAAAATTCTATTTCCACTATTATATTTGATCATGTCGAGCCCTGGATAATTTACCTCAGAGATTAGCATCTTTTTCCTCCTCCATTGGATCCATTTTTTTACATTTGACTTTTCCCAGTGTTTTTAGTTGGTGATTGTTGATAGGTTGGGTTTTGGTGTATGGTTGCATTTCTTGTCTTTTTCTCTTTGCACTTTATCTCACAGAGCTGCACTTACTATGTTAAATATTAAGCTTACATCTTTAGAAACTAAAGTGAAGATTTTAAGGCATTTTATAATTTAAGGCTTAAAACATTTTTACCTCAGATATCTATATAATTTATCTATATTGACTAATTTTATTGATTTTCCACTGTATTCTGTAAGTGTAACCATATTTTTTTTTATCAACCTTTCACATTTAGTCATAAAACTTCCTGTTTGAGGCTTTTGTTTTTATGAAACATTTTTTTCCAACATGACCTTCTGTGAAATAAATGTCTATAAAATTTTCAAATTGATTTTGAAAGTAGGGAAGCTATAACTTATAAATACCACTACAGATTTTTTTACAAAATTTTATTCAAAAACGAATTCCTAGACTTGTCACTGGAAATACTATATTTTACATCTCAGTTTATTTTTTAATCCTCGCCCAAAGATATGTTTTTATTGATTTTCTTTTTTTAAGACAGATATAAACATTGATGTTAGAGAGAATCCTCAATCAGCTGCCTCATGCATGTCCCCCCCAACTGGGAATCTAGCCCACAATCTGGGCATGTTCCCTGGTAGGAAACCAAACCATGGTTCAGAGTTGTCACTCAGCCACTGGTCCAGGCACAATTAAGTTTTAATAAGGCTGTTTTAAAGGGGCATTACAAAAAGCACAAATGGAAATGTAAAGTATATGTAAATTATTTTACTACCACAGAGGTTGAAGTTAACTTCCAGTTCAAAACTTTCAACTTTTAACCTGAATATATGATATTAGTATGTCTTAAAAACTGCAACATCATTGCCAACTTACAACCACTTAAACAGTTCAAATAGGAATGGATCATAGTGGCTGATTTTTTTTTTTTTCATTATTTTAGTCTTCTGTTAATTATAATAGGTTGGTGGAATATTACATTTTAGAGTAAATTTACCTCTACTTTAACAAGTATTTAAGTGAGGCTCACTTATTGATAGTTAGAAATAGAACTAAAATAATTTCTAAGTATAAAATTATCTTTGACATTTTAATGAACACCTGTCTGTGAGTTATTAAACAACTTTACGCTCTGAAGAAAAATTAACTTTATGCATTTTTTAAAATTTAGGCGGAATATAATTGAAGCCGTTTACAATAGACTGAATCCTTACAAAAATGATGACACTGTAAGTAGCATTTTAGTTCCCTCTGCTTTTCCTTCCCCTCCACTCTAAATGCATATCCTTCCTACCTGTTTTTGCAGAGTTGTTCACTGCACCCATTCTTTTACACACACCCCTGATTGATTGCTCTGAACTCTGCCTGCACCACAGTTCTAGTGATTGAGGACATAATCATGGTGAGTGGCCACCTCTCTCAAAAAAGAAGAAAGTACCTTTGAATTATTGTGGGGTTTTTAAGCCTCTACAAGCAGTCAATTTCAAGAGGTTTGCCTGCACTGAATATTTTTTGAAGTTGGGAATAATATATCTACTCAGAATCTTGAATTATTCTGAGTTTGTAAGCAGCTACAACAGAACTTAAGAATGTCCATCTCCACTAAGTAGTTATTTTATGGTTGGGAATACTTTTGCCAAGAACCTGAAGTACTAATACTTCATTTAAATATTAAAGAATTCTGTTTATGTAAATAGACATTGGAATGCCATTCTTCAATTAAGTTTACTATTATAGTTATGTTATAGTATGGTTAGTGTAGAAGAGTGGTAACTTCAAATCATTTGGGCAAGTTCTGAAATATTTTATATATTACATATGAATCCTCCTCAAATAGCACGTTACTTGAAGTCTTAATCTCCTATGCAATAAAAAAGTTTATAAAAATAATGTTCTAAAAAATTGAATTATTGAAGAAAAAAATTTTAGTGGTTTTATTGGCTTAGAAATACTTTTGGTCAAACTCATGGTAAAATCATATTTTAAGTAGTATTGTGTTACAAAACAAAACAAAGGGCTAACAATTTTTTTGAAAGATTAAACATTGATATTTCATATACACATATACACATAAGCTTTAAGAAACATATTCTGAAAGTCAACTTCACAAAACCTAACTTCTTCATTATCCAGAAAGTAATGTCTTGTGGCACCTCTGTGCTTTACTTTAGTTCGTTTTGTTTTGTTTCCTTTTTAAAGGACTCTACATCGACTGATGATATGTGGTAAAACTGCTCATCTAGCCATGGAGTTTATCTTCACCTCCAAAGGAGAGTACAACTCAACTTCATTGAACCTTTTAACATTCATCCTCAACCTTAAAGAAGAGCATATGACATGGGTGAGAGAGGTTACACACCAGAGAACGTCAGCAGTACAACAGCTAGCCCAGAACTGATTATTTTTTTTTTTTTTTGTAAATTTGAGACTTATGTAAACGTGATTTTAAACCATAATTCATGTTGTAAATCAGACTCCAGCAATTTTTGTTGTATGATTTTGTTTTTTGTAAAGTGTAACTGTCCTTGTACAAAGTGCTCATATTTAATTATGAACTGCTTTAAATCATTATCAAAGTTATAAGAAATGTTTGGCTTGTTGTGTGAGGCAACAAATATATAGACCTTTCAAGTCATGTTGTGTTTGGACTTGGGGTTGGGACAGAGAGAGCAGCAGCCATGTCAGCTCTTAGACGCTCAACTGTGCACATGATTATGGAGAAAAATTCCAAAATCTTATAAAGCCGAGCATCCAGGGAGTTAATTGGAAACTATCTTAATGTTCTTGGCAGTGGGATTGGCATTGTTGATAAAGCTGGTCCCTTCACTTAATTGTCTTTTAGGTTGTTCTCTTCTTGTTGCCATGAGTATTGCAGGTTATACAGTATATTCATAAGAATATCAGTCTTGGGGCTAAAATGCCTTGATTCTTTGCACCTCTTTTATAAGTCCTTACATTTAATTATTAATTGATAAGCAGCAGCTTCCTACAGATAGTAGGAGACTCTGCCACATTTTGCTATCATGATTGGCTGGGCCTGCTGCTGTTCCTAGTAAGATATTCTGAATTCCATTTTATCAATAAAGCTTGATTTAACAAACAAGAAATTTAATCATGTATGTGTAATTCCTCCTTCACATTGCCCTTTTAAAACACCATGCCATTGTAAATGAGAAGTTTTTCAGGGGGAAAGATGTTAGTCTCTTTTAATTGGAACATCCTGTTACTCAAGGCATAGATGGAACTGTTTCTTTTCCATTGGCAAGACTAAAAGATTTTAGTCTCTGTTGTCCCTTAATCTATTTTTTAAATGGGTTTCTTTCTGGCTGCTTATTTTTCATTAAGATATGTATCAGCTCGAATTTGCCTACTGTTTAATTAAAATAATTGTCAGAGCTTGACAATCTAACTTTCTGTGGTAGGTGTGTATGTTTGTGAGTGTGTGTGCCTGTGATTTTTAATTGGCCCATGTCTTTAGAATCCAAGTAGTTAAGATGTATTTGTAATTTGAAATATAGCATGTTGATAATATTTAGCTGTTGGCCTTTAAAATAACTCAAAGTTTAAAGAACTGTAGATATAAAAATAACTAATTTAATTTAGGCTTAAATTCCTCTGATTAAGCATGTGAAAGTAAGTTTTTAAACCTGTCACATTGAAATGACTACTGTTCTGTGGCCTTCTGTATTTTTTTGTCTCTTTAGGTTGAATATTGTATTTATCGCCATGTAATTTAATCATTCGGTAGGCAGATTCCCCACTAGAAAAATATTAAAATACATTTGAATACAAGATCAAAACTTTGTGTATAAAAGGTAATATAACCAGTTTTCTTTTGTTTTTTCCATAATTTGAAAATATACATATTTGTATATATAGACTTAAAACTAATCTAAAGGTAGGGGAATAGTGGGAAAAGTGATGTGAAATGTCTCAGATTTAAGTAGTTACATACCAACAAAATCTTTTCATTATCCCTCTTATTCATGAGGTGATTAAATGTAACTTAATTGTACTTAATTTATATTTTAATCTAGCATGAATGAAGAAAAACAAGTACTATTTATATTTAGAAATTCATAACAGTTGGAATTACAGAACCAATTCCATACTTAACTTACAAATAAATGCTTAATGGCTAAAATCTGTGGTAAAGTGCAAAGTATGATAATGTTTTAAGTTATGGCTTTGCAAGCATCTAAATGTGCATTTTATGAATAGCAGTGCTTGTAGTATAGATTGATTACCAGACATACTGGTACTGAAAACTAAATCCCTATTGCGAGAAGCCAGGTCCTTAATTTTTTAAGTAGACTCAGTTTTTAGTTCTGGAAATTTCAATTAGTTTTTGAAATGAAAAATCTTAAATCACAAGGAAGATATGTGATAGAAAGCTATATTTTAAATCATAACAGCATATATAGAGCATTTTAAAATTTGAAGATCTTTAAATAAAAAAGAAGTTAAATATTCCTCTGTTAAAGTTATTAGTACTGAAATTAGGCTTGGAAGTGAGAAAAAACTATATAAAGTGTGATCTGAGAAAACTAAATCTTTTCTACATGAATCAGCATTGCCATACTAGATATAGTTTTTTCATTATAAAAATATAGGAAAAAATATACATTATAACAGCAAACTGTGTTCTTCATTCCTGGGGGTAATGGTGGTGGTTGGGAACCAACCACACTTTTAAAAGGCACTTTTGCACCTCTGTTGTGCACTTCATTTTTGTACCACTTAAATTCTTGACCTCCCACCCCCTTTTGTGTGCTAATTAGCATCTCAGGGCATTGCCTCAAAATTTGTTTGATGTGTTGTATGTTATTTTCTTTGGAGGGAAACAGTTCATGTGTGATGATAATATACTATTCATTGTGCTTTCGCTTAAATGTTTTAATAGTATGAACCCACTTTGCTGCTTTTGTGGGAGATCCATTTTGTATAGCAAACTCTTGTTACCCTAACATTAAAGAATTTCACTGATCTCTTATTGTTTTAGCAAGTTAAACTCTTAATTTCTACTTTCTTAGGGACTATACTTTTACAGATAACAAAAGCAGTTCTTAATATTAGTGTTAACTTTTGAAAATCCTAGAGGTATTTTTCTTACTCAGCTTTAGAACTATTTGAAACAAAATTTTTTTTTATAAAGCATTAACTTGCTTCTAGAGTACTATGCAATGAGTGTACTGCTTCTGCCTCTTAGTTTTTTAAAAAAACTAACTTAATAACCAATTTGGGTCAGAGAATAAATTATGTAATTCAGATGCTCTGAATTCTAGCAGTACTTTTAGTGATCATCTATTGACCAATTAATAACTCAGCTTTTCCACAAAATGTTTTGAATAGTTATCTGCAAAATACTGTGCTAGGCAAAACATCTTGTACTATAAAGAAATGAATAAATAGGTCCTTGCCCTCAAGGAGTTTACATTTGAGTAGCTATGTTAATAAAACTGGGTCACTCATCCAAAAAATAGTTATTGTCCACCTGTCTGCCAGATAATTTCCTGAACTCACAGGTCTCTACCCTAAACAGCTGATTTATACTTCTTTTATCATTTAAAAATCTGTTTATTTTCTCCACAAAGTTAAAAATCTCATTCAAAAGAAAATTTTGCTAAGCATAGGAATAAGGTTGGACTGATGAAGCTCAAGTCTATTCAGTATGCTTAACTGCCTTGAACAGTATGCTGGATAGCCTTTACTTTCCTGCTGAGAGCAGCAAGTTAGAGAAAAGGATAATGGATTTCATAGCATTCTGCAACCCTAAAAATTTTGGTTGATTTTAAAATTTTAGCTAAAATATATATACTTAGCTAAAATATCTTATTTAAGTAAAACTCTGTTCTTTACTTGAAAACATACTGCCAGTGCTAATATCCAATTTTAGTTAAATTATTACTATGTGTTTTAATTTTTAAAAATAATTTCACTGCCTATTTTTATTGGACAAATTCAAATGGGAATTCAGTTTGTGACTTCTGAAAGAAATGATTGAATTGGTTAAGGGTTTTCTCTTTTGGTGTTTTAATTTTGAATTTCATGATGTATATGCTTTTAATTCATAAAGTTTGAGTGAAAGGTTTAAGCCTTTTAATGTTTTGGTTGCTATTTGTACAGTTTTATGTTAGGATTTGGTATTAGAAAATATTATGTAAATATTTCAGGATATAAATGTCACTCATTTGAGGTTGAAGGAAGTTTAAAGAGGTTTATATACTTTTGCTTGCAGATCCTGCTGGTGAGGTGACCATTTTTTAATTGAGTCATCTAGTCTTTTCATTAGTAAGGGTTTTCTTGTGTAGGTGTATTTGTTTTTAAGACTTAGGAAGATTTCTCTATAGCTTAAAATTTTAGAATCCTAATTTTACTTTATTTCTTTTAATACTGTGCCATGAGTTTTGGATTGTATTTGTTTTAAATTAAACATACTTCCAAATATGCTTGAAATTTTTAAGAATACACTTTCTAAATGTTATGATCTTAATACTTTATTGTTTTGTTAACCAGAATAATATGTCAGTTATGTGTTAGTTATTACTGATAGAATGCTGTATGCAGAAATGATGAGAAGCATTAGGCTTCACTTCATTGTCAAATGAACATTTCCACTTTTATTCACCACAACACAGATTATTTCTCTTTTACCTGCTTTATATATTGAACTCGTGGCTTCTGATCTCATCTTTTTCTAAATATATTACCAGCAGGTATGAGTGTGCCAATTAGAAAAACTCAACTGTATTGAAATTGTAGTTGGAAACTTATACTTTTTTAATAGTTGGGGGTAGGAGGGTTAAATTGATATAATAGCAAAGTGACCTTTTTTTTCTTTTTCATTTATTCTTCATGAAATGTTGCTTCATTTCCTGTACTAGCCTCTTGGTGTTTTCTCTTTTTTCAGATGGAAACTGGCCAATTCTTTTTTTGAACAAGAAAACAATGTATTACTTCACCAAGGCCAACAAATAGTATGTAAAATGTCCAAAAATAAGAAAACTTGGGAGATAAAGGAGTGGGGATATGGCAGTAAGGATAAAAGAGAAGGATTACTCAATTATTTTTAAGGTCATAGGAAGGTCTTCCTTGGACCCAGCTATATATTAAAAACTGTTGCATTAAGTAAACCTGCAAGAACCAACTTTGCTTCTTCAGATAATATGATTTTTTCCACCAAGGGAAATAATAAAAACTGTTTCTTCAACATAAAAACAGAAAAATGA